GAGAGCTGCGAGCGCGTGTAACCCCTTGTTACCTGACGAGGTGGGCGATCTCCCAGTTGGCTTCCAGGGTCAGGGGTCCTTCCACCTCCACGCCTTTCTCCGTCGCGATCGCTATTTCATACTGAGGAGAGAAAACATCGATGGGTGTCGGTAAAGCCCCATTTCCACTTGAATTTAAGATGGGCCCTGGGAAAGCTCCAGGGGAGAAGTCGCTGACAGCAGCTCTGCTGCAAACAGCTTCGTCTTCAGTAACTTTTAAGGGTTTTTTTTACAGTAGAAATGCTGTTAAAGCTCAACAGCTGCAGCCTCTGGATGCTACAACTGTGGGGATGGGGGCGAGATCAGAAACGAGCGTTGCTCAGAGCCCAGCAGCTGTGGGACACAGCGGGGCCTGGCCCTGGGGACAGGATCTTGGTGTACCCCACGTCCTGAGGGGTTTCCTGAGATCAGGGGGAGAAAACAGCCCGGGATGAAGAGGGGAACAGCCCGAGGAGAGCAGCGGGCGCCCGCTCTCCACCCCAGCGCCGGGCTCTTACCCTGTTGAACGACCGAGCGTCTCTGTAGTACAAAATCTTCATGCAGCGCTCGATCAAGTCCCGCGCCTCCTCCTTCGTCAGGCTGGCTTTCTTCTCCAGGACTTCTCTCATCAACGGCTGAGGGGAAAAGAAATCAAACCTCATAGCTCAGCAGCTCACCCAGCGCCGAGATCCCTCGTGTGGCTGCGCTCGAGGGTGCCCTACCTGAGCCAGGTACGCTCCGTAACCCGTAGCGAGCGTTGGGGCTTCGTAGGCCACGCCGAGCATGTCCACGTACCCTAGGAAGCTGAGGGGACGGAGCTGTGAGCTGTGGTGGCCGCACAGGGAGGGCTGTGGTGGGGACAGACTCGGCTTTTGGGCAGCTACACCCGGCCAGAGCCCGCCCTGCATCCCCGGCCACGAGCAGCAGCCCCAGGGCGCTCGCCCTCGCTCACCTCTCGCCGTTGTAGTGGCCTCCGATGACGACCGTGTTCCAGAGCGGGTTTATCTTGGATCGCCGGTTGTACATGACCCTGGTCAGCCAGGAGTGGATGGCTTTAGGGCTGTAACTGTGACCGTCTCCCAGCAGCTCCTCGTCGATTCTAATTGCAATCAGAGTTTCAGCCGATTAATTAAAACCACAAACCGGCAGGGCACAGCGCCCTCCTGCAAACCCCACAGCGGCTGCTCGCAAACAAGACCCTA